TACATGCTTATGTGAAGTCAGTCCCACTAAGTTTGTATCCACAAAATACTTAATTTTGTTACAGTACACTGAATCACAACTCAGATGGATTTGCATGCTGTACCCACTAAATAACCAAATCTTAACCATGATTAACTCCAACCAAGTTTAGCTTGAAGTATAAATGTAGCTTTTGGACAATTGACTAAATAGGTTAAGAATATAATATGAGTCTATCCAGAAACATTGGAAGGTCTTGCAGCTAAATATGAATCCCAACGATGGCCAGTTAATTCCTCGGCTTGCTTCATACATCACAAACTGGTTACTAAATCCATTTTCAGGGATCTCCTAATACACTGAATCCTAAACAAGCTGAACAGGCTGGTTTTATAGACTGTACTGTGACCCCTCCTCTCCGCTAATAAACTGAACACTAATAAACTAACCAGGCTCTGCATGTTTTGTGGAATAATTTATCTGCAAGCAGTGTTTTCAAAGTAGTAATTGGAAATTAGCCCAAAAGTAATAATAAAATACAGCAAGATTACCTAGAATATCCCCTTGTGAGTCAGAACTCCCAGAAAAAATGATCCCTGAAAAAAAGAACATTGCCCATCCATGAGGTTGATCCTTTCACAGGCTTTGGATGGCTGTCCTCGCTTTGCTTTTAAACAGCCCCCTAATTGAAAACAGTGACTCACCAGCAGCAACAGATCACATAACAGAGCAATGCTCTTATAGGACTCCAATGCGCTATATGCTCTCAGTTGCCAGCAATTTCACACTGCATACTCCATAGGTCCTGTACAAACATGGCAAACTCCAACTGAACAGGCTTAATGAATTACATCTTTAACATAACAATATAAGAATGGCCCTCTGGGATCAGGCCAAAATGCATCTTGGAGGTCTTCACCAGGGCAGCACTAAATTGCTACTCTCCAGTGTGAGAGTTACAGAAAACATACCAGCTTAAAGAAGTGTGGACTGTACTTAGCCTTTATTCTGCTTTGGCAATGTTCTGTCTATACTCCAAGGCAAGGGGCAAAAGAGAGAGATATGGCTAAATGCTTCCTTTGGTGTTAGTTACTGGCAGCAGAAGACTGAAGGTCTTTGGTCCTTTCTCTGATTCCATGGATTGATCACTCCAAAAGATTGGAGAACTGGCAACAAAGGAGTAGTTCTCCCCTGCTTCTCCCTCCCCATCATGCCCTTCCACCAAGGATGGCAGACAAAGCAGAGAAGGAAGGGAAACCCTTTCTCTAAGCAGGGTAGAAGTTGCCCATGGTTTAACTGAAGGGCTGTCAGCTGTTTCTGCCCAGACTCCTGCCCAGAAGCCATGGGCATCTTTCCTGCAAGGCTGCTAGAGTGAACCCAATTAGTTCATAAGCTTTTGTTTTAAGGGATTGAATTTTCGGCTTGAATGAAAAGCATTGACCCCTTGATTATTTCCAATGCTGCATCACACTTAGGATGAGTCTCCATCACGTTTCAAGTGGGCTTCCCCTTCACAAGAGTTTTCACAAGTTCTGAGGTTGGTCAGCAATTCTGGTTGCCTTGCATCGAAGTTCAGGAATTCAGGAAGTTAACATTTGGACAGCCTTTTTAGAGGTTACAGCCAAGCTCTGAAACAATCTCCCCCCAATAAACAAGCCCCAACTCTGCTCACCTTTATGAAAGTCATTAAAGACCTGGCTTTTTTCTCAGGCATTTTAGATCCAGCTGAGTGAAGTCCCCTTTTGGTTGTTTTACTATGTTTGGCTGCCATTTCACATTATTATATGTATGTTTTATTGTTATGTGGTTGTTTTCTTTCTTGTTCTTGTTTTCTATTGTACACCATCCAAAGTCAAACTGTTTTGAGTTGGGCAGCCCTATAAATCCAATAAATAAAAAAATAAATTTACTCCCACTTTGAGATGTGGTTCAGATGGAAGTGTAATGTTTTGTTCCCATATTGACAACTTTTACAGATACCTAATTCTCAGGTTGGAATTTCCAGCTGCTACACAATGAGTCATTTTCATCAACCTATCTAATATGACCCTAAGATCATTAAAGAAACTCACACCCCATCAGTGCATACATGGTTAGTTTTGGTTGCCCCAGGGTGCATAAATTTACGCTTCCTTAAATTGGATTAGATTTGCATATGGTTGATTGTTTACCCAATTTAAAAAGATTCTTCTGGAACACTTCACAATCACTTCTAATTTTTAACCACAAAGAATAGCATGATCTGCAAACTTGGCCAGCATACTGCTGCTTACTTCTAAGTCAAGATCCATTATGAACAAATCAAAAAGCACTGGTCCCAGCAGTGATCTTTAAGGCAGAGTTCCCCAATGTTTCTGGCTTTACGGACCGGCAGGAGGGAGGGGATGGTTTTGCTCGATGGTCAGCAAGAGCATGTGAGTGCACACAGCTCCATTTGCGTTGAGTGGCATGCCTGTGCACTTGCCACTCATACAAATGGAGCACATGCACATGGACTTGCTCGCTGCTGGTGCAGGTGAGGATGTGCATGTGCGCTCACTGGCCATTTCCGCAGTCCAGTTGCAAACACCTCATGGCCCACAGATTGGGGACCCCTGCTTTAAGGGATTCCACTCTGCATCTCATTTCACTGAGAACCCTGGCATTTTATTCCTACTGTGCTTTCTGATAAAAGAGAATATTTGTAGCTTGGGGCTGAACTGTGGGGACTTGGCGCTCTCTGAGCTTGGTTATTTTCTTGCAGACTTTTCATTACCAAACTAGGTAACATCATCAATGCTAGAAGGGAATGAGTCTTGCTCTCATTCATTTGTTCTCAGTAGTGTGCCCTTTGGTGTTGGTAGGAGTGGTCTTGGTGGTTCCTTAATTAGGTTGCTGTTTACAGGTAGTCCTCAACTCACGACCACAACTGAGTCCAAAATTTCTGTGGCTAAGTGAGACATTTGTTAGTGAGTTTTGCCTGATTTTATGACCTTTCTTGTCACAGTTGTTAAATGAATCACTGCAGTTGATAAGTTAGTAACCCAGTTGTTAAATGAATCTGATTTTCCCATTGACTTGCTTTCTCAGTGACAGGTGATCACATGATCTTGGGACATAGCAATGGTTATAAATATGAACCAGTTGGCAAGCATCTGAATTTTGTTTACATGATCATGGGGATGCTACCAAAGTCAGAACTGTGAAAAATGGTCATAAGTCATTTTTTCAGTCATGTTGTAACTTTGAATGGTCACTAAATGAACTGTTGTAAGTTGAGGACTACCTGTACTGTTAGCTTGTTTGTCTGCATTGGTAGTTTTAACATTAGGCCAACAACCAAGAAGTAAACAACACCCCAATGAAGGAACTACCCACACAGACAAGCTAACAGTAATGAGGACGGGCTTATAACACTTCAATGACTCAAAGAACTTTGGATGAGGGACTTAGTTAGGTTGTTTTTTTTTAATTCAAGTTGCAATGTTGACAAGATCACTTTCATTCACTTACCCACTGATGTCTCCTTTGGATCCTTTTTTAAAAAATGTTTCAGTTCTTCTTATCCTCCAGTACCAAAACTAAATTTAGTAACTTCCACATTTTGACCAAATATTTCATATTTGAATTCTTTATGAATTCTTGGGTAGGTGCCACCAGGATCTAAAGATTTAGTAGTTTATCAATATTTCCTCCTAGAGCTACCTCAGTTTGCTATTTTTGTTTCTATAAACACTCAAAGAATTTACTGTAATTAACTATTAAGACCATAAAAGAATGAATCTGAGGGTGATCTGGATGGTCTAGAACTATATTCCTATTCAACAACTTTTAAATCTGAGGGAACCAGATGTTGTAACTCAAAAAACAATGCCTCTATATAATTCTACTCCTCCTGCTCCTCTTCCTCCTCATTCTTCCTTTTGCTTTCCTGATCCTTTTACATTTTTTTTTTGCCAAGGTTTGTATTCCAATTGGTTCTCTTCTTTAAGACAAGTTTTCCACTTCCTGAAAGAAAACTCTTATCTTTTACCGTTTCCTGAACACTACTAGCCGCGCTGGCCCCTTCCTGAATTTGGTTGACCCTTTCTTCCTCTGTAGAAAAGACTTAAAACAACCACCTGGTACTGTGAATAGATTTAGCCCCTTTTACATTTTTTTTCATTTTCTTATTGACCTTTACTGTTCATACACAACTAGAGTATTTTCCCTAGTCATCCCAATGCGCTAAACAAGGCCAAAATAGGGCTGCAGAGTTTAGTGTGCTGTCGGATCCCAGCCGTTGCATTACCGTCTTGTATGAAATGGGCTATTATTAAATCATAACTTGATTTATTTTTAGCAGAGCACGTTGAGTGAGCCCAGCAACTCTGTTCTGCGAGCCTAGATTGTGGGTTAAGGTGCTGGGTGAACCAAACAGTGCTTATCGCTTAGTTTAATGACTCAAATAAACCATTTTCTGGAATCACACAATACACTGAATATAAATTAACCAAATGAGTTTGATTCATCCATCAGACTACCCACAAAAGACTAATCAAGGTTTCCCCTGGCATGTTGTGTGAATGCAGGGGCATTGCCTTTACCTGACCTGGCCAGACCTTGGGAGAACGAAGCCTACAACCTTACTGGGGAATGTTTGATTCCTTGGCGGCGCCTCAGAAAGGCGCCTCCCTTCGCAGCCACCAGCTCGGCCCCAGCCTCAAACACAGCCAGTTCCCCCCTCCTCTCCAGCTCCTCCTCCGAAGGGGCGGTCTGCGCAGGCAGGGGAAATAGCCGGGCAGCACCGCTTGCTCGGTGTGCTCCTGCCCGGCCCCTATCAGCCCCTGGAAACCTTCCTTTTGCACCCTCCCACCTGCTCCTTCCGCCCAGTCCACCCGCCTATAAAGAGAGAGGTTGGAGCTGGCAAAAAGAGACGGTGAAGGAAGCGACCGAGTGCGCTTTACTGCTGCTGAAAGCGGGCATCGCGCTCTGAAGGCTCGGGTGAGACCGGCCGGACCTTGTTCTTTGGACGAGGAAACGGGCTTTTCCTGGACTAACGGGGGAGACCCATTTGCGGGGCCGCCCTGGAGGTGAGCGCGACACGGACGTCGTCGAGCGACATCGCGGACCTGAACAGTCAAGACGCACAGACGGTGTGCGAAGCGCTGGGTCGCTACGAAGAAACGCTTCGCGGCGCCGTTAAGGAGATCCACGTGGATATCCAGGTCTTTAAAAACGGCGTGGACCGACAGGTGGCCGAAGTGTTGCGCTTGGCCAATCCGCTGGCCAGCACCGTAGCCGAGCTCCAGCAAGAGAACCAGCAGTTGCGGACGCAGGTCGAGCATTTAGCTCAGCAGATGGAGATCCTCAGCCGGGCAGCCGGACTCTCGGACGTCTTGATTTCCAAGCCGGTATCCCCGACGGCGTCCGCGGCATCGCCGAAGCTGGGAAGCAGCAGCAGCAACAGCAGTCGCTTTGCTAGCCACGCTAGACTGTCCCTTTCCAGCAAGAGCCAGGTAACCGTGTGGCAGGAGCGGAAAAGCACCGTCTGTGAGACAGCTGCATGCAGAAATAACTTAATCATTGATCTCCTACCCCGCGTGGAAGGGATTCCCGGCGCGCTGTTGAGCCAGTCGGTTGCCCTCGGCCCTTCTGCCCCCGAGCTTGGTCAGATCTGTGGCTTTTCTCTTCCATCCCCCGACCTCCAGCGCCCCCTTCCCTCCTTTTTCCTCCCTGTTTACATGATGCCCTCCCTCGCGCGATTTAACTTCTGCATGCAGCTCCACCCAGAAGATCATAGATAGGAAGAAGTGGCTCTCGTACGCTCCGTCGGGGAACGTCTCGCGCTGCGCGAAGATGCCACGCCCCCGTCCCCCCCTTCCCTTTCCCCCCGAACCTGGATCTTTCAATATTAACCGAACTTCCCGGGCGGAGCAGTGGAAGTTTGCAGGACCAGGGTAGCCGTTTCTGCTATTGCATTGGTTCTCTTGGGAGCCTATTTGGTTCCATGCTGGGGCGGATGTTTGTATGTGTATGGAATCTATGTATGGGTGTTTTGTTGCGGACGGGGTTTGCGGGCAATTCGTTTTGCGCCCCCCCCATCGCGTTTTAAGGGGCGGGAACGCTCCCTGCGAGCGCGTTGATTTCTTGCGCATGACTGAAACTGCGCTAAGCTGGGATCTCGTTGCTGCTAGGCGGAGCGATCGTGGGATAGGAATTTAGGAAAATTAGAAGGGGCTGTTCCCCTGCTGTCGCCCAAGCAAAAAGAAGCCATCCTTCTTAAGCAGATTGTCTTTGAAATAAAGTAGGGTTTTATTTCAGGTCAGGCTTTCTTAATCACAGACTTGATTTCATCAGAAATTATCAAACTTTGAACACAAGTAAAGTGTGCTCTTAAGCGTGATCACAATATATCCACCTGGCTTGGAAAGTTTTTCAAGACATGATCCTTCCGTAAAAGAATTGGAACAAATCCTCTGTTGAAGGAGAGGCGTTTAGCCAGGAGAAGGGACAATAAGAAGTAATGGAATCTTTCTCTTCAACTCTTTGAAGAGCTTTCCTGTACTAAATGAACAGAATTTGCTTCATGTTTCAAAACCAGTGAGTTCATATTACAAGGAAGGGGTTTATATGAGGACTGTGCTAATCACAAACCTTTCGGCTTTCAATAAAATGTATTAGTCTGAAAAGATACCACTAGACTAGACTCCCTCTGAAATAAGGTGATCCTAAGTAGTATAATCTGTTTGAGAATAGAGCAGACTGCTTTGTTTCATGCTGCAGGTTTGGGGTTCAGTGTGTTGTAGGAATCCAGTAGGTTGTGTGAACTAGGCTATTAGGTTAAGGTGATTTATTTGTTTAGACCTAATATGCTTTATGAACATGCCAACTAGGATCATGTTTTATTAACCAGGTACATTGTATCAACTCAGCCATAATCTTGTAAGGTGATGATTCATTCACTAGAATCTTTTAAAGAAGAGCCCAGGTGCCAGGACAGAAAGTGTTTTCTTCTTTTTCTCCCACAATCCCCCTGGACGTCTCCATCTGACTGAAGCAGCTGCCTCCTTTTTCTGATTTAGCTGTTGCCCAGAGATATTTGAGGTACAGCAGTTGTGCCTATATCTGTCCAATGTAGAGTTGGCCTCTGTTGTACTTCACATAAGGGATTCCCTTTTCCATCTCAGTACGTGCTTCAGACAAGCTCCTTCTCTCAAATTTTCAGATTGGAAATCAGTTGTTTTTCCACGCCAAGTCAGTGAAACTCCCTGTGGCTGCTCTATTTGCCTAGTATGGTAAAATTGCTTTGTGTTCACCTTGGCTATTTTTGAGGCTTAATAATGTTCTTCAAAAGTACCAGTTTATGGTGTTGAGTGAAATTAGAGAATGGATTAATTTTGTAACTAAGTTCAATAGGTTATACAGAGGCAGTAAATTACCCCTAGATTATTTTATGATACTCTTCAAAGACAGTGGAAAACAAGAATGTGGCTTGTTGTACTCTTCATCCATGTAAAGAGGTTTAGAATGACAGAAGACCATCAGAAAGTCTTCCACTCAGAAATAAGCATAATTAGTCGCCATGCATTTGAGATAGCTTTGATGATTTGATTATGCACTATCAAGTTGTTTTCAACTCCAAGTTCCTACATAGACAGATTTTCTCCATGACAAACTGTCCTTAATCCAGTGGTTCTCAAACTTTTTAATGCCGCGACTCCCAACTGGTCGTAAGTCGAGGACTACTCAACCGGTCGTAAGTTGAGGACTACTCAACTGGTGCAGCACCGTTTGCAGAATGGGACTTTTGGCGGGCTCAGCAGGGCAGAGACCGCCTGGACAATTCCTATTGGCTTTTGAAAGCCAATAGAATTAGACTCTATTCAAGAGAGTCTATTCTATTGGCTTTCAAAAGCCAATAGAATAAAAGGGAGTAGCACAGCTAAGGAAAAGGGGGAAAAAAATGGCGGACTGCGTTGTTTGGCGACCCCCGTGAAATGGTTGTTCGACCCCAAATGGGGTCCCGACCCACAGGTTGAGAACCACTGCCTTAATCTATTCTTCTAGGTCTTCCAACAGTGCACCGATTGCACTGTTATTGAGTCCATCCACCTTACTGCTAGTCATCCTCTTCTCTTTCCTTCCACCCTTTCCTAGCATTAGAACCTTTTTTAGAGGTTAAGATCTTAGGTTTATGTGTCCAAAATAGGATAATTTGAGTCTGGTCATTTGTGCCTTGAGTGAGTACTTCAGGTTGATTTGTTTGATGATACGTTGGTTTGATTTGTTTGGTTGTCCATTGTATTCTCAGAAATCTTCTTCAGCATTAAACTTAAAAAGCATCAAATCATTTCCTATCCTGCTTCTTCAAAATCCAGCCAGAAGGCTTAAAACCAGGATAGGTAGTTTTTAGTAGTTTGGGAATCACCCTTAATATGCTTTGAATGGGCAAAGGCTATAATAGATTTTGTGGTATTGTAAAGTGGGAAGGGAAACAATTTTCTCTCCCTTCTTTCCCTGGTGACTAAGGTTCAGTTTCCTTTTAAAATAGGATAAGTCTATATAAGATTTTAGATACCCTTTTCCATGTGTTTTGTGAATTGCTCTACAGTTTCCAGAAAACAGTGAGAAGGTGCTTCTGGTGCCAAAAATAACATTCAGTCTTGTATCTTAGATTGTTTACCTCTACTTTAAGAGCTATTTGAAAGGAGCAAGGGACTTGCACCATTACGTCTCCCACATACTTTCAAAAATGAAAAATAGTGTCTGCTGGAGTGCTTTGTCCACACCTATCAGCCTGAGGGTAACTTACCACATACTGGACTGTATTTGTACAACACACCCAACCCAGTTTCTAAAGGAGCCCATTTGGGGGGTCTGAAATATATTTTTCAACCCTAAACTATCCCAAATATCTGCATTTGCACAAGACACTAAGCTACGAAAACATTTACCAAGATTATACATATATAAATGCAGCCATTAAGTTTTCTAATGGCTTGGTTAAGTACGCTATACTGTATAAACACAGCAAAGATGTCTCTTTGCATAGATCAGCCTTGCAAATAATTCTCTCAGTGAAATGCCAAGGGTTGAATTGGAGGTCATGATTATGATAGGAAAAAGACACTCTACATATGCTCCAAGTAATTTCTCTTTTTTTAAAATGTACTCCAGGACACAACATAATGTATATACTGTTCAGATCCTAATCTGATCTGGTGTTGCAGCTGCTGCCTCCTAAACTCATTGAAGACTGGTGGGATCTTGTGACTTTATGTTCTAAGCTTGAGCTGATGAAGAAGAGACTGGACAGCCATTTGTCTGAAATGGTATATAGGGTTTCCTGCCTGAGCAGGAGCTTGGACTAGATCAGGGGTAGACAACCTTGGCTCTTTTATGACTCGTGGACTTCAACTCCCAGAATTCCTGAGCCAGCCATGCTGGTTCAGGAATTCTGGGAGTTGAAGTCCACGAGTTATAAAAGAGCCAAGGTTGCCTACCTCTGGACTAGATGAACTCCAAGGTCCCTTCCAACTACATCATCATTATTATTATTATTATTAAATTAATATTATTGCAGATGTAATAATTGGAAAGAGCTTTGGACTTGAAACATAAACTATCAGTCATTTAGTTAGCCCGTAAATAGAAGAATGTGTATTGGTTTGGGACATGTGTCCTGCATCTATCATCTACTAAGGACATTTCTCAAAAAGGAAATTTTCAAACTTGATTGTACAGCACCTTTATCTTTACTTTAGGAATTACTAATTCTCTTTCTGGCAATATTCATATACCTACGCCCTTACTCTCACATTCAACATTCCCAAATAGCTGAAAATTGACTCCTGTGGCACATGGACCTTTGTAAAATCTTTATGAAGCCAAATATTACAGAAATTAGGTAGGGCAGACCTGTCTGTCTATGGAAATTCTCAGTCATCCATGGTTTTCCAAAAGGCGTTTTTCAAAAGGCAACTGGACTTTCTTTGTTTTTCCTTGAAGACATTTCGCTTCTCATGCAAGAAACTTCAGTTCTGGTTCTCTCAGAACTGAAGAAACTTCTTGGATGAGAAGCGAAATGTCTTCAAGGAAAAACAAAGAAAGTCCAGTTGCCTTTTGAAAAAGCACCTTTGAGACAGACCTATCATGCTGTTTCTTTTCAGGCTAAGTGAAGAAAATAAGAAATAATAAGAAAGAAAAATAAGAAAAATAAATTATAGGTATGAGATAAGAAAAGAAAACATAGCTAAAAGAAGTTTCACCAGACATTCCATGCATAGTAGAGAACGCTATCGGCCTTATTTGTACCTGTGCCACATATGCACCATTCTCTACCAAGTATGAGTGAGCTGGATTTAAACATCAGACTATAAGAATATATAGTAACAAGATTCCTGCTGTTGAGTCAACTCACAGGGCCTGTCTAAAAATTTCATCAGTAAGTCAGGATAACAACCACTGTTTGCCTCTATCGCATTTGACTATCCATAGTTATATTCTCTGGCAGCAT